AATCACATATCGTATTCGCTACCAATAAAAAAAATTACTATCAGAAAAATAAATAAACAAGCTATACCGGGTAAAATTTAAATAAGTAGCGGCATTAATTATCTGACTCCTCCTAAGACACTCAGTAGCTTTAAATTCAAGAAATATACAAAAACTTTAAAGATATCGGATGACCGGTTCTGTACGACCAAAAGATGCTAAGGAAGGAAGGGCCGAATCACCACTAGTAGTCGCAATTCGTGACTACAGATTCAGGTTAGGAATAACTAGGCAATCTGAGATCCGAGAGCAACTTATTGCTGATGGCATATGTACACGTGAAAATGTTCCCTCTCGATCATCGATCAACCAGTATGTACTAAGTCATCCGTCAGTGAATTACTTCATCATGCTCTAAATTTGTTGTAATCATAAAACACAATTTCAGCATCCTTCGGACAAAACTCGATCTGGGGAAACGAATATCATCAGCTAAAGAACAAAATGCTAAAAAATTAGCTATGTAATTTAAACTGAAAATATATGCTGTAATACCAAATATTTAAACGTTCTAATGCATGTGAATTCCTTTGTTTTATTTGTACTTGATCTCGCGCAACAAATTTGTCAGTAGTATTCAAATGATCGTTTTTAACGTCAATGCCTTTAAAATTAACAATTTTATTTTTTGTCGTCATCTACCTTCACGCGGAAAGATGCTCATTTTCCTTCCAGCTGACATCTACCTCTCTCCGGTCATGAAAATCAATCATGAAGTCAAATAAATACTTTAACAAAGTGGCTCTAATGCAATTATTTTGATCAAAAACCAAAAACTTACAAGAAACTATGGTATCTGCCTGACAATAAATGAATAACAATTCATTTCAAGAAGTTAGCAACTCATTTTCACTTTACAGGTATGAAATATCTAGTGGTAACTGGAATTCCGGAAGAAGTCTAAAACAAAGATTATTTTTGGAAGCCGAATTTTTATTGTCGCTTCATGCCAGTTAGACAGAGTGAGAGCTGTAAGCGTTAAGACACC